ATAATGAAGAGTGATATTTATTCTGCTTATATACAGAAATGTGGCACAAGGCCAAATTGGGAAATGGATAAAAGAATGGTCTTCATCTGTCTTAACATTAAATTTAGCTAGCCACAAACACTGACCCAAACATATCACAATATTTCTTACACCAAAACAACACATTCTTACTTACCAATAGCTTATCCAAACAATTACCATGAAAGTATTTATAGAAAAGATACAGAGACAACCTTACAGTGGTGGGAAAGTGACTGAAGCCGAGCCATCAGATCAGATTTTATCAAGAAGCTCAAGGTAAATAGCAGGGGCACTGGACCATATGTGGCAGCAATATTCTAAGCATGGATGAACGCTAGACTTATAGATATGTAAGATAGATTCTGGAGCCTGAATGGCCACTCTTCCAGATCCTTTCATACTAATGAGATTTTGACACCAGTCTAGAACTGTGCTTAAATTCAAATTGTCTAGGTACCATAGTGAAGAGTTCATCCAAACAATTATTTATAGAAAAGGTATGGAGTGGCAATGTTACATTGTTGGGAAAGTGACTGAAGCTGAACCACTAGATCAAGACCAATAATATTGCTGATTCTTCTTTGGATTTTATTAAGGAGCTCAAGGTAAATAGCAGGGATGAATTATATTTATACGGTTACATCTAGTCAACTGTAAATTGATGAGATCTTGACGCCAGTCTAATACCGTGCTTAAATTCAAAAAGTCTAGGTAGCATAGTGAAGAGCACATCTGAACAATTTCCATGGAAGTATTAATAGAAAAGACACAGAGAGGCAAACTTATGGCAGTGGGAAAGTGACTGAAGCCGAGCCGCTAGATCAGGACCAATAATATTGCTGATTCTTCTTTGGATTTTATGAAGGAGCTTAAGGTAAATAGCAGGGGCACCAGACCATATATGGCAGTAATATTCTATACATGCACAAATAGTAGGCATACAGATATGTAAAATAGATTCTGGAGAGAAAAATTGTCTCACACAACACAGTGAACTGACTTTTTTAGCAGCTGACCTAGATTCAATATAGACTTTCCATTTCATGTCAGCTGAAAACGTTAACCCGAGAAGGCGCTTTTAAATTTTTGCAAATTAAAGTTGGCTGGAAAGCATGGAGCAAGAAGGAAGTTCAAGAAGTGTGAGAAAAGAAACTGTTAGCATAGAACTTACAAATATATCTAGCCAGCTCAATTGTAAATTGATGAGATCTTGATGCCAGTCTAATACTGTGCTTAAATTCAAGTCTAGGTAGCATAGTGAAGAGTTCATCTGAACAATTACCATGAAAGTATTTATAGAAAAGGCACAGAAAGAATCAACCTTATGGTGATGGGGGAAAGTGACTGAAGCCGAGCTGCCAGATTGGGACCAATAATATTGCTGATTCTTCTTTGGTTTTTATCAAGGAGCTCAAGGTGAATAGCAGGGGGACTGGACCATAAGTGGCAGCAATATTCAAAGCATGGATGAATGGTAGACTTATATATATGTAAGATAGATTCTGGAGAGAAAAATTGTCTTGCATGACACAGTGAACTGACTTTTTTAGCAGCTGACCTAACAATGGATTCAATATAGTCTTTCCACTTCATGTCAGCTTGAAAAGGTGCAACAAGTCACTTTCTTAGAGGTCAGCATCAGCCATACTGATGGAAGGCAGAAAGGGGTCCCTCAGATGATTAAATGGAGAGAAGTTTAGTTTTGGAGATATTAAAATTAGCAAGCCATCTTTTGCCTCATTTAATGACAGACTTGAGGTGGTTTTGGACATTGGCTGCCATTTTGACCTTGTCAGAGTGATCAGCCTATTGAGGAAGGAGTAAATGGTAGTGTCATCAGCAGCAGCCAGCCATTATAAATCTACACACATATGCATATATGTGTATTTTTCAGTTGTTCCATGTCACTACTGAATGTGACACAAGGTCAGTTTAAAGTGGGTTTAACGACAATACTGTGGAAAAATTGCTCAAGCACTCTTGACACTTTCCCTTTTAGGTATGTCTCTGGTACTGGGCAATAAACCCAGCCCCCACCCAAAAGAGAGGCACCACAAGGGAAAATGGCCCCTGGGGCTTAAGCTAATATTAATTTCAAACTACCTCAACTGAAGCCAGGAAATGCATATGTAAATAGTAATTGGTACTTCTTGTTAGATGGCCATTTCTTCAATTTTGGATTGAGTTACTGTGAGCACGTCAGTCAGATACACACTTAGGCAATCACATATCATTTGATACATGACTGACGAGGCAGATTTTTTTCCTGCAGTAGGTTGTCCTTTCTTTCTGTAGTAGACCAGTTGCCATCCAAGGCTATAGAAACAAGTCTGTCCTGCTATTTACCCATAGCTGGGGGGAGAAGATGATGATTTATACCTTTCACAAGGGTATTAGCACATAAGTGAATGTAATGGATTCGATTGGAATTCAAACTCAACTCTCCGATTCCTCAAAGCTTGCTTTCATTCTGCAGGATTTTATATATATATATATATATATATATATATATATATATATATATATACCAGAAACAAAACTTCTGTCTTTGAAGTTATCCAGTCCAGATGCACTTTCATGCGACACTTCAGACCAGCTGCTGACCCACATACTTTGCCACAAAACTGACATAAAATTCCTATAAATCTTGGATGGCTATCAACACAGTCTGTTTGGGATTGCTGTCATGGGATCTTAGATGACTAGCAAATACTGCTTTGGATAAGAAAATCCTACTAAAGTTATTACATTTGTGCCAAATACAAGTGACATTTGGAATAATAATGCTGGTGGAAATTTTTCAACTTATAAAGTGAATGTGAAATTTTTGATTCCCAAAGCAAAACAATCATGCCATGGAGAAAACTATTTGAAAAATAATAAGCATATCATACCAAACAAACACCATGCTGGGTGTATAAAATTGAAGGAAATTTTTTTCTTTTAATCAAATTCACCCCAAGTAAGGTGGAGATGCCACTGAGACACAAGGAGTTACTGCGTGTGGAAGGGTTAGAAACAGGAACAATTGCTGAGGAGCAAGAACAGAGAAAGTGTAATCAGAAGGACAGTAGAAAGTGATTGACATTACATTTAAATTTTTGCAGATTAAAGCTGGCTGGAAAGTATGGAGCCAGAAGGGAGTTTCACAAGCGAGAAGTGTGAGAAAAGAAACTGTTAGAATAGAATTTATGACTACATCTAGCCAGTTCAAACTGTAAATTAGTGAAACCTCATCACCAATCTAGTAGTGCTCTTAAATTCAAATAGTCTAGACACCAGAGCAAAGAGTTCATCTGAACAATTACTATGAAAGTATTTAACAAGCCATTCTTTGCCCCAGTTAACAACAGGCTGAAGGTCATCTTGGATATCAGCTGCTATTTTGACCATATGAAACTTACTATTGAGGCAGGAGTAAATGATTGTGTCATCAGCATAGATACCAAGTTGAGAGCTGATGTCATCAAGAAGGCCATTAATAAAAATCAAAAACAAAGCAGGACCAAAGATGGGTGACACCTACATTAGTACGAAAGGGACTGGAAAAGTGGCCATTGAGGATTACTTTCATTTCACGATTCAGTAAAAAAGATTGTATCAGTTCAAAAATTTGTTCAGAGACACTGTAACTTTTCAGCTTGTGGAGAAGACCTGCATGTCAAACTCTGTCGAAAGCTTTTGAAATATCCAAATCTACCACCATTTTTATCTAAAGCATGATAGATTCTTTTTGCAATTATTATCAGTACAGCAGCAGTTGACCTGGAGAAATGAATGCCATATTGCTTGTCTTTAAAAAGGCCCTGCAATGTGAGATGTTTAACCAATTCAGTATTGATTAGTGCCTCTAGGAGGTTGAAGGCTAATAGCTGGAAGGGTCAGATGGTTCACCAGAGTTCTTAAAGAATGGAACAGATGAGGACTTCTAGGAAAATGAAAGGTGGCAAGACACTTATTATACAGTCCAGAGAGAACAGGAGCCAATTCAGGGGCACTCTTCTTAATGACTATTACAGGGATACGATCAGGTCCTCACAGTCTTTGTAGAGATCCAGGTTAGAGATGTTAGCAGAAACCATGGAAGGGGTTAAATGCATGTCACTCAATAGAGACTCAGTTCTAAATAGAAAGTTAGGAATGATTCTCCAGATGAGTCAAGAGTAGAGTTTAAAGAGAATTTACTGGTAAAGCATTCAGCTTTATCAACAAAAGATGTTAACACCTCAAACTGATTGAAAAGAGGAGGAATAGAGACCTTACACTTATTTAATACACTATTATAGAACTGCCAGTAACCATGAGAACCAAAGTTTTTAGATGCCATAAGGTGCCTTATTCTCTCAACAGAGACTTAGCTCCTTCAAGGACTAGTTTACATTTATTATAAGCAGCAATGAATAGGATGGGAGCTATCATTCTGGACACTCATATTTAGTAAACAAAGTGAGTTTGTACCTCACAGTATGCTCTACAATTGTTACATTGTGCCAGAGTAAGATCGATTTATTTTTTTAAAGTTTATCAACCTTTTGTGAGTTATTTAAATCCAGAAAATGCTTTTACATTGTAAGAATATTTTGGAGATAATAGTAATTTAGTGATAGAAATTCTACTAATTAATCCATAGCTGTGAGGGGAGAAGAGGTAGATTAATACTTTTCCCAAGAATTTTTGGAGGTAAGTGAATGTAATGAACCTGACCGGAATTGGAACTCGGCTCTTTGATTACCAATTCTGAGCAGTTATCCATCACACCATCTGTGCATCTAAGATTAGAATGTCTGGTATTCTCAAGTGGTCACTCATCTAGGTATTGACCAGGCTCAATGTTGCTTAACCATGAAAGAAGAATAAGAAAAGAAAACTTTTAGGCAAATGCTTTTTTAATCAATTTGAAAAAATAGAATTACAATTGGAAAATGTCAACTTTGGCAATAAACAAAATTTCTGTGAAGGTTTCTTTTTTTTTTTGCCCCCTAAAGGTTTTTGTCAATTTGGATGAGTCTGTCAACTACAGAAGTTAAGGCCATCACAGCAGGAGAATCAGAATGTTCTGTAATGAAGTTTTTGCCTTCTTCCAGCGACATGGAAAGATGCTGATCAAGAGGAACACAACCTGAAACAATGTCAAAAATAAATAAAAAAACTAGAGAATAAATAAAAAATATTTCTGCATAATTATTAATACATACATTTTTTTTCTGTCAAATTTAGTACTGCATGGATAACAAATTGGATGGGCAGGTGGTGTTAGTGTTTTGGGATAAGAAATCAGCAAGCTGGGTTCAAAGTTCAAAGTCAAGTTCAGATCATTACATTCCTTTCCACACAAATTCCCTTGGGAAAGGCATGAATCCATCTTTTCATCGACTGGATGTGACACAAGGCTGAGGTTTAAAGTGGGTTTAACAGCAATACCATGCAAAAAAAAAAAAAACCCCCAAGACCCTTTGGTCCTTCTCCTTTTGGGGATGCCTGAGACACTTGAAAATAAATCTACCCCCCCCCAAAGGAGAGGTATTGTCTGGAGAGAAAGCCCCATGTAACTTGGGCTAATATTCAAAGAATATAAATCCTAGCCAAAGCCAAATAGATTTATAGATATTTACCAGTGTGCACATGTCACAACAGGATGTTACACAAGGAAGGTGGGTTTAACGGCTATACTGCACAAAAATTCCTCCTCAATACTTTCCCTTTTGGGGACACCTCAGACACTGGGCAATAAACTCAGCCTACTCCCCAGAGAGAGGCACTGCATTGGGGAGTCTCTTTGGGGCTTGTGTCCAGGAGTACAATAAGAAATTCAGACAAAGGCAAATGGATTTATAGATATTTACTGGTGCTTCCCCTAAACAACAGATGTGACACAAGGTCAGTTTAAGTTGGTTTTCAGCTGTGGAAAAATTCCCAAACCTCATCAGGACTTTCCCCTTTGGGGATGCCTCAGGTGCTGGACAATAAATCCAACCACCTACGAAGGAAGAGGTACAGCCTGGGGGGAATATTAAATATAAATAGGGGATGTTTATATGCAAAGTTGAGACCTGGTAGGCTAATGTTTACCCAGATGCCATAGACTACCAGTACTTGTAGCTAACCTCACTCCATAATACTAGAATATTAAATATAAATAAGGGAGGTTTATATGCAAAGTTGAGGGATCTGGTAGGCTAATGTTTATCCAAATGCCATAGACTACCAGTACTTGTAGCTAGCCTCATTCCATAATACTGGAATATTAAATTCAAAAAGTTTGTAGGTGGTCTTCTATGACACTATATGGTATTTGCAATAAAGCAGATATGATAAATCCACATGTGATATTGATTCATTTATAATTCTATATAAAATGTTCACAATGTCATCAGACAAATAGGAAAAATTTAAAAATAACAATGGAAATTGGATATTATTGCAATATTTCCATAATCTGAAGTAAATATTGAAATTTATAAACAAATAGCTAATAAATTTCCATATGGGCCCCATTCGTTGCACAGAAGATATCAAAGTAATATTCAATTTCTGTCCATGTAATTCGTTAATAAAACATAAAAGCTTAACATTAAAAAACTATTAATCTCATTGAAAGAACTTTAATAACATCATATTAATATACAATGAAAATTTATTTGCCGTCTTTTCTAAATCTTTCTTAATGCCTTTTTGAAACTGTCTAAAGACTTTGTGAACACGTATATTTATTGATTGATTGAATTGTTTTCTACAGCTTATCCACTATTTTCAGGTTTTTAAAGCCAGAAAATATTTTTAGAATGTAAGACGTTTTTGGAGATAAAAATGATTTTTACTGATACAAGTCTTACTAACTAACCGAAAGCCCTGGAGAGGTGGACTCATACCTAATCAGAATTTGATAAACAAGAAATTATAATGTGGACAGAAAGTGGTAGATCAATTCTATATTAGAATAAATATATAAATTGATCCCTCACTTTGTGACCACAAAAGTTTCTATACATTTCTATTCCAGAGAATGTAAATAAATCTAAAAGACATGCCTGTGTAGCTATCAGGATTTCATTGTTTTCTACAACTTATCAACCCTTTGTAGGCTATTTAAAGCCCAAAAATATTTTTAGATTGTAAGATTTTGCTTTTGAGATAATAATGGTTTAGTGATACAAGTTTTACTAATTGGCCCATAGCTTAGGAGAAAAAAGGTGGATTAATACCATTGCCAAGGTTATTTGCACATACGTGACTATAACAATCCTGTAGAATTATTATTATTATTATAAATAAATAAAATATAAAATAACAATGATAATAATGAAAATTATAAATAAAATAAAAGAAAGCAATAACATAAAAACGTATAAAATAAATCAAATAAAAATTAGAAATAATAACAATTCTCCCAGCATGCAACAAAAATTGTTCCTGCCAAAAATATGGACATCCTGCCAAAAGATGTTAAATTCAATCTCTTCACCACAAACCTTGGCAACACTTGTTCAACTTCTCTCTGTGATATGGCTTGTAATACTACAGGAGTAAATTCTCCCTTTTATCACATGTACTATAAAACAATTGTAACCTAAAACAATACACACAGCAATACACATAAAAAATATAAATAAATTGTATGAAATTAACATACAATTTCCAATGCTTTTCCTGATATTTCTGTATGTTTTATTTTCTGTCAAGTATGCCTTTATCTCTGTGATCATGAATCTAATTTCTATTACTATGATGTGAGTAAATGCACCACAAACCCAACGAGAATTGGAACTTGGCTCTCCAATTAACAATTCCAAGCATTACACCACCCACACATCCAAACTTACAGCACCTGGTATTCCCAAGTGGTCAGCCTTCTAGGTTCTGACCAGGCTTGATATTGCTTAACTTTGGTGACCATATGAGCTTATATATTTATAAATCTCTCAATGTATTTCTGAAAATGAATAGTCAAAACTTTCATACGATTTGTTTACTTCTTTATGTGACAGTTTATCGACCTTCCAAGAAAAAATAAAACACTTACCTAAAAACGGAATGCCTAGTTCCCGGGCCAGGGCTTCTCCTCCACCTTTTGAAAAGACATTGGAACATTCCTGGAATATAAATTTAACATTCTCATTCAATGGGAAAAAATAGGGAAGATTTTCACTTTGGAATTCTTTTGTTTGTAATTTCTCCAATTCTCACTTCAATTAGACTAATTACTCTTTTCCTCTATGTGCTATATCCTTTCAGGATGTTGGCTTTCATGGCTCTCCACAATTTCCTGTACTTTATGGTTTTTAGTAAATTTTGCCTTTTTCTATCACTCCTAAACCCTGTTCTGCCATCCATTTACACAAGCTCGCTAGGTAGGTTATGCATTGTTTTCCTCTATCCAGCTTGCCTTCAATATGTCCTGTGAGTGGCAAATTTTCCAAGCCCTCTTTCCTCATTATGTAGCCTAGAAATTTAGACTCTCTGTATGTTAAGTATGTGTCCTTTTTGTTTCCATTTTCTCTAAAACTTTGTCACTGCCCACATGTTCAGTTCATGGTATTCTCAGCATCATTCTGTAGAACTACATTTCTGTTGCCTCATGTTCATCTGTGAGGAAATTGTCCAGCATTCACTGCTATATTGAAGGACTGATATAACAGTTCAGTACTCTCATCTTCATTTTTAACAAAATTTTCCTGTTTCTTAATACTTTGCTTAGCTTTTGGAAGGCGTTTTTTGCTAACCCAATACACCTTTGGATTTCAGTGTTGCCCATTCCATCCTGTGTTGAAACACTTCTTAGATATTTAAATTATTGTACATGCTTGATTTTGGTATCACCAATTTGTAATTTGCATGTTGGGCTGTTCCTTTTGCTAACAGCCATATGCATTCTATCTTCTTGCAATTGATGTTTAATCCTTTCTTGCTACCCTTCATTACCTTCTGCAGGAGTTCTTGTAGTTTCCTTTCTGTGTCTGCTATCAACACTGGGTTATCTGCATAGCTTATGTTGTTAAGATTGTGGCGCCAATAATGAACCATAATAGGAGTTCTAATTCTCTCAGAATGGCCTCACTGTATAGATTGAACGAGTCTGGTGAGAAGACCCATCCTTGTCTTACACCCTTTTCTATTTTTGTATATTTACTGAATTCATTTTCTATCTGTCTGCAGGTGGCTTGTTGCCAATATAAGTTCTGGATTATTCTAATATTCTTCCCAAATATGTCAAGGTTACCTCGCAATTTTAATAGATTTTTGTGATGTATTTTATTAAACACTTTTGCATAAAATAGGTGCAATTCATGCATATAGTGATTATTACATCATAAACAATGAGTATTGTTGTACATGGCACATGAAAGTGCATACAAAACACATTTGTAAGTGTTTTGCATGGTGAATGAATAGAAAGTTTTTGCTTTTGTTTATTTATCAAAGCAATCAAAACAGAACTGATTCTGTTTGATTTGGTTGTTAGTTAGTTGGTTGTTTTGTTTTATGGCATATCAAAACCTCAGTGGGTCATTTAATGCCAACAAAATTTTTGAAATAGATTCATAGTGATAGTTTGGTAAAAAAGGTGTGTATGTATACATATATATTTGAACCATTTTTCAATTACTCATATTTTTGAGTACAATCCAACTTCTTTTAGGAAATTTACAATATTGGATGGTTTTATTTTTGCAAAAAGATTTTTTTTTAAATTACTCACTTGGTAATATTTTGTTTGCACTAGATCAAAATCTACACACTCTAACAGTATATGTTTCAGTGTAAATTTTAATTATTGCTGATAATAATTTTTCCATCAAAAATTATTGCTGGTAATATTTTTTTTTTATTACAAATTATTTCTGGTATTAAAACCTATTTTTACACAAGTTTGGGTGTTAACTATTTACCCATATCTGGAACACCAGTAATTAAGAGGTGGTTCCACACTCCTCAAAACCTCCTGATCAGAGGCCTTGCTGTTGGACGTAGTTTATCGTCTTACCCAGGACGTGGATGTAGTTTATCATCATACCCAGGATGCTTACACAAGTTTGGGTGTTGACTATTTGCCCATAGCACCTGACATTCCCAAACAGCCACTCATCTAGGTACTGACCAGGTTCGACATTGCTTAATTTCAGTGATCATACGGGAACAAGTATTTCAACGTGATGTGGTCGTACGCCTTGAAACAATATGCCTGTAAATTAATTGTATTTTTCAGCATTGATTATAAAGCCATAAATTCAAACTTACCTTACAATTTGGACAGACAAAACCACTCATGTTTTCTATGATTCCAAGAATTGGAATTCCAGTTTTTTGGCAGAAAGTGGCCTCTCGTCTCACATCCCCCACAGAAATATCCTGCCAGAAACAATACGTAAATACTGTCTGAAATTCTCTGATAAAGAATATTATCATTTTGCTTTTTTATCCATTAGTAAGTTAGCGTGTCTCTTATGACCTGCCATTACCTCAGATAAATAACGTACAATACCATTATGGTTGCAAAGAAAACATAAAAGAAAAAATAAATATTGGCAACACTGTTTAGTTTTAATGAGAAAAAGAAAGCATACAATAAGAAGAAAGAAAGGGACAATAGTGGATGTGATAAGACTCTCATCTGTTTAAAGTCTGCTTCAGTGACATCAAAAAACATGTCAGCTTTGAATCGTTTCCTTTGTAACCTTTTACTTTAGCTAATGACCTCTATTCTTACTTATGATTGTTATCGCAATATTTTATTAAAGTTGTTAAGCTCAAACATTTACTGATTCAATTCCTTTTGATGAATAATGCTCTCTCAAAATTTGCAGTGCTTCTCTCCTATCGTCAGGGGATTCTCCCATAATAAGAGACAGACTTCGATCATAGAGAAATTGAATTAATTCGGCAAACACATTTGCCACTTTTTGTCACTGGGACAATCAAAGGGGGCCAAGATTGCTTTGTCTAATTTTTAGATTTGCATGTAACTCAAAAATTTTACTTCGCATTTATTGGCCCCCATAAAAAAAGGTGGGTTGTGGGGAGGTAAATATGAGTGCACTCATCCATTAGATTGAGTGGGGGTGTTGATCTCAATCATTACTGGGAAATGACTGCAGAACACTTGCCCTTCCCTTTTATAGGTAGCGGTACACAAATGAATGCTGGGATATTTTTATCAGCCAATAAAATAGGCTGGTTTTCAATTTGACATGATTCAGTCCAGATCTGCCTTGTCTAGAAGATAGAATGCTACACGAGAATTCATCCACTCATCCACTTTTCCTTAAACAATTCAATAAAACAGACAATAGTTAACAATGGTTTTCCTAACTACCTCATCGACCACCAGATTAGATTATTTCTTTCTAAGGTAACTAATAACAATACTTAACATACAGATAAAAACAATAGCATTAACATCTAGAAAAGCCAAATATATGTCAACTACATACAATATGAATTTTCTCTTAGAAATATCATAAAGAAATACACAACCTCAGTTAACTTGAACAAGAAAATTAAATTATCTATTGCAAAAAATTTAAAATGGTTAACCTTATCATCAAAAATAACAATACACTTGTAAAATCCAACTACAAAGAACCAACAATAATAAAAAAGGAAAAACCAATACTCAATAACATGGGCACAATGTGCTGACCATGTTTGGAATATAAAACATTCTTATAACTTTAGACACATACATAAAAAACTCACATATTTAGTTAAAAAAAAAAACCCACCCGAAACACTCTTGATAATGGGTAAAAGAATAGCTGAAAGTGTTTAGATATGCAGAACTTTTGGAACAGTTTTTATACAGTCTTTGTGTCCAGAAAAAAAATTTTTTTACAAACACAAAATTAAATAAAAAGCTTAATTGCAGTAGCTTGTCAATTGTCTTTAATGAAACATGTATAAAAGAGGGATTGCTGCCTAAAAACACAATATCTATAATTCTCAAAATGTGTGTGTGTGTGATCAGATGTTGTTTATGCGTTTTCACAGTTTTCATCAATTTTGATGAAATTTTCTTTGATAGATAATTCTTCAGTGCTGGTTTTGAGTCAAAATTGTTGGCAAGATTGGCTCTCCACTACTTCCTGTCCATTATAACTCACAGCAATGTTTTACTATTTACTATCTGTTTTTGGATATATATCTTTCATAAAAACTTTAATAAAAATAGTTTAAATTATTACAATAATATTTATTATTATACAGTTAAATTTATAAAATTAATAATATTAATTATATAAATTAGAAATAATAATTATTAATATTATAATTAATATAATTAAAAATAATATATCTGTGAGGAGAACCTGAAAATATAATCTATATCTATAATTCTCAAAGTGTGTGTGTGTGTGTGTGTGTGTGTATGTGTGATTAGATGTCGTTTATGTGTTTCCACAGTTTTCATCTAATTTTGATGAAATTTTTTTTGTTTGATAGATAATTCTTCAGTGCTGGTTTTGAGTCAAAATTGGCCAGAAAAAATTCCAATCTTGAAGGTGAAAAATTGAAAAAAATGATTTTTTACACTTTGTGCAAAAATCAAAGGCAAAATTTAATTTACTTTTTCACACATAACCTTCCAATCTAGCTCATGCTGTGTGGGTGATTCACACCTCCATATGTTGCCCATCAGTTGCTGCTGACCTTGATAATTAGTATGTGCAGCAATGCATGTATGTATGGCCGTGCAACACGCGATGTGTCACACATTGACGCATGTGCATACGCATGGCCTGAGAAACGCAACACCTGTTTGAGTTGCACATTGGCTGCATGAAGCCCCTTCACACGATCAATTAAATGTCGATTGTCTACATAGTCCTAAGCTCATTGCTACCAATGAATTCCACAATTCTGTATGTCCAGCCCTGCTTACACATTCCCCTTCTCTTGGCCAAGCTTTGAATCTCTCTCAAGTGAGGTCACCTTTTCCGTTGCATAAAGCCTACTACTACAGTTTTAAGGCATTGCTTTCACTGTCATTTATAGCCATTCCCAATTTAAAATTTTTATTGCCCTGCCAGTTTTTGCATTGCATTCACCGCAGTAATAAGTAAACTTGTTTTTTTATTACTCAACATTTATTTTTCCAACCTTTCCTAAAGTTATTCAAACTTAGTGATCCCTATAGCTTTACAGCGTTCTCTTTTGGTATTTTCCCACGCATTCCATTTGACAATTTATATTTGCCTAAGACATGTCACCAAAGAAAAGAACTTGCCTAGGTTGCAAAACCATTGCCATCATGTCTGCCATGCGAATAAGAGATAACAAATCGTCTTTAGAACGTTCAGTTTGCCTGTCTCAAAATGTCCCTCAGAATGCTTCAATCAGAGCCACTGAATCCGAAGATCAACGTAGCTTTCCAGAAGAGCATACCTGAACACTTCTGCGCGCGTGAGGCTGAAAATGATGATCAAAGGGCTCAACCGCTGAGGAGAACCGCCTCTTCTACTGCTGCTGCGTGTGAGGCTGAAACAAGATTGAGAACGTAAAAACGACCCTTTTCAGCTCCACTCCCCCATTCAATTTGTTAACTTTCCCGTTTGGGGATGTGCCTCAGTTGCACCCAATTCTTGGTACTAATATTGATTTTCAGGTGGACTGACTTTAAACTTAAACTGCTCCAATTGTACGGCAAAAATTCCCAGTAATGAAAGACACAGTCGAAGATGGGTTATACTGCTTTTTATCTATCTATCTATATATATATATATATATATATATATATATATATATATATATATATATTCTAAGGAAAGGATTTTCATTGATTAATCTGATAAATTTCTATTATTTAAATGTTATTTTAGCAGATATTCATTCATATTGAGTTTGTTTAATATTCAGGCTGGTATACAAAAAATAAATACTGTTTAATAAATAAATGGAACATCTACTCAAATATGAGTATCCAATAAAAATAACATTTAAGTAATAAAACACTCACACACACACACACACACACACACATATATATGTATGTGTATATATATATATATATATATATATATATATATATATATATATACGTACAGAGACAGACATATTGTTTCAAAATCCTCAAGTACTGAATCTTTAGAATATTTCTGTTTACAGCAAAGTTAATAAGTAATTCAAGTTCCTTTAATGCATGTAAAATTAAGAAAAGCCTTCAAATCTTCGCAGTCAGGAATGTGTGTTTAAACATTGTAACTCCTTTGTCAGTTTTTAAAAAAAAGAAATTGATATCAATAGAAATCATCAGTGCATGTCTAAATTGGTTTTATTTCCATACAAATCAATACATTTGTGAAACAGAATATTTAATAAGTATAATAAATCCATTATATATATATATATATATATATATATATATAATTTAAATGAGTAGGAAATGCCTTCAAACATGAATAAGGCACAAATTTGTGACAAATATTCAAAAAATGTATGATTGCCAAAGTAAGTATGGAAATTTCGTTTGCACAAAGAAATGCGGTCACTTTTGAAAGAATAACACTATCAAAAAATGAGTTATCTCATCTGTAGCACTGAATTGACAATATGCAATGAAAAACTGTCCACTTGATAGCCTTGAAATTACAAGTTACAAAGCTGATTCCTCCTGCCCATGACACTAAACTGATGGCTTGCAAAGACGTGTCATCCAGCCTGTGGCCTGATATTGAAGGTTTGCGAAGATGAGTTGTCCAACCAGTGGCACGAAACTGACACATTGTAAAGATGAGTTGTCTCACCCATGGCATTAAGCCAATGACTTCAAAGATGTGTCATCCAGCCCGCAGCATGAAACGGACAGCATGCAAAGATGACTTGTTGCACTTGTGATACTAAACTGAAGCTTACAAAGACAAGTAGTCCTGCACGTGGCACTAAACAGAAGGCTTGCAAAAAAAAGTCATCTTGACCATGGCACTAAACTGATTGTATGCAAAGATGAGTTGTCCAATCTGTAACACTAAACAGCTAGCAATAAAAAATCGTACTGCTCGTGGCACTAAACTGATGGTTTGTAAAGATAAGAATGCCCACCCATGGCACTAAACTGATGACTTGCAAAGATGAGTCCTCTCACCTATGGCACTTAACTGATGGTTTCCAAAGATGAGTTATTTTATTCTTGGCAGCAAAAAATAACATCGATGAATGAAACACAATATTCAGTACTTCCTTTATTAAACAATGATATATCCTTTTCTTGAAAAAGATAAAAAAACTGAAAACAAATTCAGCAAAATCCATGTCATCTTGCAGAATAATCAAAAGTCTTCCCTGATCTCCAGTAATTACAGATCAAAAATTGAACTGAATAGAAAAAGTTGAAGATTATTAGTTGATATCAAGTAAAATATAAAAATCAAAAAACATTCAATAACTGTCTGTAATGAATTTATCTCCAGTTTGTCTGATGGTAAAAGGATAGTCTTGTTTGCTCTTACCTGAGGAGTGGTGACAAGAATAGCGCCATCTGGATTGTAGCTTTTCAGGCTTTCTACCACAGCTATATGTTCGTCTGAAGTACCTGGCGGGGTATCAATGATGAGGTACTCAACATCTTGCCAACAGACATCTGTGATGAACTGACGAATCATTGCTAAAGTTGAAAACACAAAAAGAAAGAAATACTTATACGATGCCCAACAGAGAAACAATGAATGAGTTGCAGAAAAAGCATGCAATACTTATATTCAGACCAATGTCATCATCTTTGTTGTTGTTATCTTGTTTCAGCCATTGTGCTCTCCAGCCTTCTTCAGGGTAACCTTCAAGGAATTTCAAAATAAACTCTTTATTTTATGGGAGTATATTGTTGTCATTTCACTCTCTCATTCCTTTTAGTACTGTTCACTTGTTCCTTACCCTGTTTCCATTGAGTCAGAACTACCTGGCCCAGGGAACTCAAAATTACTGTATCACAAAATTCCTGAACCAATACTTTAATCTTTTAAACTATCATCCATTATAGCAATCTTGACATAGAATTCAAAGCCTTAAACCAAATATGTGGCATTTTTTTACATTGGTTATATAACCATCATTTTCTTTTAACTAACTTGCATGTCTTGGATATAACGAGAAACTACATCCGGCAGCAAGGCCTCTGATCAGGAGGTTTTGAGGAGCGTGGATATCACCTCTTAATAGTGGTTGTTCCCAGGTTCCCAGCACCTGTTAAGATCCCAGCTATGGGTAAATAATGAACCCCCCAAACTGGGGTCAAAACATGAAAATATAAAAATACATTAGAAAAAATTACAAGCAATACATTTTCATAGTAAAAAAATAAAAAATTACCAGCAATATATTTTTAAAAAAATTATCAAAGTTCACAAAAAAAATAAAATTTCAGACCATAAAGATTTGATATGCTGTTAAACAAACAAACCAAACTAACTTGCCACATGTCAACTCAAAGTGCAATTCATGCTCATATTGAGGAATACAAGCATTGATGTTTCTCTCACTAGCATACACCAAATAATTGTTGATAATAATCATACAGTGGTTTCCTGTTTTCCACAGTTATATTTACATGTGATTAACCTTCAAATTAAGTTGTAACTAATTGATGGCTTTAAAACATGAAAGTAATGTTGTTGATACAAATCTTAGATTTCACATAACTTGTATTACAATATCTATGGCATGTATTTTTCATTTTTTGTCTGTTATACTTGTTGTAACCTAGGGAAAGTTACTGAATAGAATAATCAAACGAAGGTTGCTAATGAATGATAATACTTAGGACACGAACAACACATATAAGATTCGCCAGCGGCACGTAAAAGTGGTAGTCAACTGCTAAAAGTGAGTTAAGTGAATTCCACAATGAAACTCCAACTGCAGTATTTACTACTGTATTTATATGAATGGGGGACATACCCATTATTGTCCGTAGGTATGCTACAACATATACTAAATCAGATAAATATATAACAAGCAAATCCTACCCTGATTTTAACATCTGACAAGGAGGTAATCAGGTGGAATACCCACTGCATCAACAGTCTTCTTATTGAGTAGCATGGTAAAGTTAACTTGAAAATACTAAGTTAGGCAAATTGCACAGTTACTGCACTGATCCTAAGTAGAGTGCACAGATATTCTATTGATATGATTTAGAAATGCTTATTCATATGTAAATAATCCCATCATTATATAAATATGCATCATTTTACAGTTGACATAGCTAGATGCAGTGGCCTAGCTAGAGAGAGGTGGAGGAGGCAGTCCACCCCCAGGTGACATTTTTATGGCAGCGGCTTATGTCTGCTGTAGGTTATAATACTGTGTAGGTTGTATCGAAATAAAAGTGGTTTTAATGCCGGGACAGTACTCACAGTTGAAGGATCATTTCAATTTTGATTAACTTAAACTATAGCATATATATTGACCTATCTACTGTCTATAGAGTGACAATTGATAGATGAAATACTTTTTGACAATGTCATCAAAGAATTTGCCAACAAAAAAGCAAGAAAAGTTACTTTGTAGAAAGTTGCAATTTTCATTTCAGAAATAAAGATGGTCCTAATTTTTTTTACGCTTTTTTCCTAGTATGTTGTTTTTGCTTTTTAAGTGTTCCTGATAAAGTTTAAGTATGTTTGGTATGTATTTAAAGCATACTATATTTGAGTATATGAAAGTAATATTGTAATGGTACACAAAATAGTTTTATAATGTTAAGAGTGAGCCACTATGCAATATGAATTTTTTGTGGGGGGCTGGGGTAAACCCCCTAGCTATACCACTGGTTAGATGTAACAATAAGTTCTACACTAACAGTTTCTTTTCTCAAACTTCTTGCTTGTGGAACTCTTTGTCTGGTTTCTTGCTTCTCAATCAAATTTGATCTTTGAAAATTTAAATGCAATTTCAATCGATGTCTTCTCTTTTTGAATCCTATTCTTTTATAGTCCTCTCACCTTAATAATGATTTTTTTCTCGGTTTCTTTCACATTCAGTTACCCCTTGTGGCTTAGTGGCTTTATTGCCTTGCTTGGGGTGAAATGATTAAAAAAAAACATAGTGCCCATAAAAAATGATAGGTAATTTGAATTATTATATAAGTACATCTTCCCTGATAAAAATAAAATAATCATGAGGACATAGGAAAATATATTGTCATTTTTTTTCTACAAACATAAAATGAGGGATCAATTTTCTATTGTTATTGAGTAACAAACTGATTACCCTGTAGCAATTACATATTAATATATTTTTCTCAAAAAATATAGTGAAAGACTTGCATAGGAAAATCCCATTTGCTATTGTTAGTAAGTAATAAACTATTTCATAACATAAAATTGAAAAAAACATAGTTAAAAACTCACATGTGAATATCTAATAATAGTAAAGACTTAAAATATTTTTTTTATGGTTGGTGTAAACTAATATATTTAGAAAAAATCTGCTGGACATTAAGTGGGGGAACGGTTTGCTATTGGTAGTAAGTAATAAACTGATACCCCTGGAACTAGTCCATAACATAAAATTGAAAAAAAAAAACAGTTAAAAACTCATATGTGAATGTCTTTTACAAATAGTAAAGACTTAAAATTAGGTACATCCACTTGCTTGCTGAAAAAAACAGCATAGCAAGATGAAAAAAGGACCCAAACTTAATAAAACAAAGTTTTATTGTCAAAATGTTTATGTTATTATTAAGTGGAAAGTATTAATTTTTACTTTATTAACTTTTTTAATCCTTTCTAGCACATTTGAGATTTTAGTTAAAAATCTTGTGATAGAAATTGATTGTAATATTTATGGTTAGTGTTCTAGCATGATGATTAAATGATTTTGTTAAAGCAACTGAAAAGTTGAGATTCCAATCTACATGATTTCTATTTGAAATACACTCAAGTATTTTGCTTACTGGAAATAGTAAATTTAGTCATTTAGCTTTCAATTAAAACTAAAATAAAAGCTTCAAGAATGCTTTTTCAGTTTTAAAAATTCGTTTTAAACCTTAGGTATTGAAAATTTAGTGGAGGTACCTATTTAGAATATATTGTGATTTTTTATGGCTGGGGTAAACTAATATTTATATATATCTAATAAGAGTAAAGACTTAAAATATTGTGTTTCTTATGGACAACGTTAAAAGCAGATACAAAGAATTAAATGAGAATGGAAATTCAAAGTGGGGCACCATAAGAAACTCTTTAGCAACATCAGTCAATGAGATAACCCCCCCCCCCCAAGAATGGATGAAATATGAAATTTTTAACATGATGAAAAAGAGACAAAAAAGTATGGTACAGAATATAGGACACTGCACAATGAAATTAGGAACAAATTCAGGCAAGCAAAAGAGGAATGACTCAACGAAAAGTGTGTAGAAATAGAAAGAATGAATATTACAGATAAAGCAGATGTGGATGAAGGAATAAGAGAACTAACAGAACAAAAGACATGTTTATCAACAGGATGCATAAAATCGAAGGATGGGACATTGATTAGAAAAAGAAAAAATACCTCAGAGATGGAATGAATACATCAGATAACTCTTCCATAACAAAAAAGGACAACCTACAATACACAGCAATATAAAAGGACCAAAAACATTAAAACCAGAAGTGAAATCAGCACTGGCCAAATTGAACAGAAACAAAGCAGCAGGATCAGACTGAATTGTAATAGAGATGCTGGTAGCTGTAAATGATTTCAGCATTGACAAGATTAGACGTAATAAATGAAATATACAACAGTGGTGATATACTGGAAGACCTAAGTAGATTAATTTTCATAGTACTGCCTAATAAGCCAGGTACATTAGACTATCAGCCTGATGAGCCATATAACAAAACTCACCATCCGAATTCTAATGAATAGTGCTTGCAGCAGAATTAATCTGGAAATAGGACAAGAACAGTGCGGGTTCATTAAAGACACTGGAACAAGGAATGCAATATTTATGCACAGAATGATATCAGAAAGAGCAATACAAATACAAAAGGATATATACCTATGTTTTATAGATTATGCCAAGGTATTCTATAAAGTTTGCTAGAAAGATCTGTTAGATAAGCTTGATATAATCAGGAAGTATATTAGAATAATCCAGAACTGATACTGTCAGCAAACCACCTGCATATGGATAGAAAATGAATTCAGTAAATATACGAAAAATAGAAAGGGGTACAAGGCAAGGATGTGTCTTCTCACCAGATTTATTCAATCTTTACAGTGAAGCAATTCTGAGAGAATTAGAAGCCTTACCAGGATTCATTATTGGGCAGCCACAATCTTAATATTAGATATACAGATGATACAGTGTTGATAGCAGACACAGTAAAGCAAAATACAGGCACTCCTACAGAAAGTAGTGAAGGAAAGTAAGAAGAAAGGACTAAACCTCAATTGCAATAAGATTGAATGCATGGTTGTCAGCAAAAGGGATAGTCCAACATGCAAATTACAAATTGGGGATACCAAAATCAAGCAAATATAACAATTTAAATATCTAAGAAGTGTTTTAACAGAGGAAGGAAAGTGTGACACTGAAATCTGAAGGTACATTGGGATAGTGAAAGGTACCTTCCAAAAGCTAAGTCAAGTACTAAGAAACAGGAAAATGTTGTTATAAACAAAGAAAAGCATTATTTACATTATTCGAACTATTGTCTTCATCTTTGTCGCCATATTTATTACAACGTTTCGGCTGTTGTACGCTCTGGCCTTCTTCAGGTGGTTTGAATGTTGAACTGAACCCTTTATTTTGCTCAAGGACACATGGCACAGTGGATAAAGGCGTTAGTTAGATCCAGTGACAAGACCTAAAGAGTGGAGAACTTTCAGAGGGAAATTAACAGGCGATAACTGACATCCATTAAACATGGCACGTGGAACTAGAACAGTCTACCCCAGTGAGCGAAATAAAGGGTTCAGTTCGACAGACATTCCAACCACCTGAAGAAGGCCTGAGTGTACAATGGCTGAAACATAATAAATATGGCGATAAAGATGAGGACAATAGTCTGAATAATGTAAATAGTGTACATAATACCTCATCTCAGGAATGTGTCCTTTCATATGGTGGTGAATGCGGGACAATCTCCTCAAAGATGAAGAAGAAACTTGAAGTAACAGAAATGTAGTTCTACAAAAGGATGCTGAGTATACCATAGACTGAATATGTAGGCAATGACAATGTTTTAGAGAAAATGAAGATGAAAGTAAATCCTAGTGAAAAATTAATAATAATGGCTGACAATGCTTCATCTAATAAGAAATGAAGATGAAAGTAAATCCTAGTGAAAAATTAATAATAATGGCTGACAATGTTTCATCTAATAAAAAGTGAAGATAATACTTTATATCAAAAACTGGTAAAAGCATTAAAATGCCAGTCCACTAACTTTGTGAATAATTTTTTTGGGTTCCTCCATCTTGCCTGCCAGGATGTCCACTAGATGCTGAGAATATCATGGACTGAACATGTGAGCAATGATAAAGTTTTAGAGAAAATGGAAACTAAAAGGACATTTATACTTGACATCAGAATTGAGAAAGTTGAAATTTCTAATGTACATAATGAGAAAAGAGCTTGGAAAATTCAACACACACAAGGCATATTGAAGGCAAATGGGACAGGGGAACTCAGTGAATAACCGATGTAATGAGATTTCAATCCTATTTAAAGACACACATGTAAAACCCTTCCAAAAATAGTAAGAACTTAACAAAATACTCTGTTAAAGTGAAGGATTGCATGTCTATCATTATCAAGTAATAAACTGATCCACCCACAATTACAACACATTAATATAATTTGAAAAAAATATATTTTAAGACTCATACTTGAAAAGCTTCTGATAATAGTTTGATGACCTGTATAAACTAATATCTGATAGGAGAGACAACTAGGAAACATTTAGAAATTTAACATGTTTCAATTATATTAAATCTTCATCAGAGAATGAAATATGGAGGAGAAAAAGATAATTCTGCTATTTTTAATTTTAAATTGTTTGTTTTTCTTCAGGCTTATAAAGACATGTTGAAATGTTTGTTTGTGTGTGTGTATATATATATATATATATATATATATATATATATATATTGTTATAGTGGAACACACCTATTCTTTAGTTAATAAACTCTCCCATCTATAATAAGTAAAAATAGTAATAGTAGCAGTGAAATCTCAATGGTTAGGTCAATAATTGTCAAATCGATGCGGGACGACCGTTAGTCTAAATACTAAAGTATCGGCGACCACAACTAGATTTACTCTAACTCATACCTATTATCTTAAACTAGAATCTAGGTTGAACAAATAGAACCACAAGAAGAACCTATAGAAACTGTGAATATCCATAAAAATAAAGCTCAAATTCTAATGAAGGTTGTTTCTGGTAACACTATGGAGGTACCAAAATAATAATAAATATTTTGGCAATATGATGTACTTGGTGAAAAGGCAAAAAATTTTCGCAGTAACCAGATCAGATGACGTTTTTCAGACAGGGTTGACAGTGGTCCCACGGAAAAAAAAATTGATGGAGGTGATTTTCAATATAACTGATTTAACAACACCTTTTCTAATTTTACCAGGATGCCGATCCAGGAGAAAAAAAAAGGCAACTGATCATTTAAAAGTGGATCAAAATGTAGGAGATATGCTACAATGCTGCTAAAAAGAAAAAAAAATGAATTTTTTGGGGTTGTTTTTTCTTCATATTTCCTGTAAAAAAAAAAAAAAATGAAAAATAAATAAAGAAAACTGTTTACTCCTATGGAGTAAACTTTTAGCGGGGGATGTTATAGTGGAACACACCTATTCTTTAGTTAATAGACTCTCCCACCTATAATAAGTAGGAGTAGTAATAGTAACGGTGAATCGCTCAGTGGTTCGGTCAGTCAGTTGTTAGTCGGATACTAAAGTATCAGCGACCACAACTAGATTTACTCTGCGTCATACCTATTATCTCAAGTTCCTAACGTTTTGTACGTTGAACCTATTTTAGGACCGACTTAGTACAAATACAAGCCTCCACTGTGAAACCACTCCACAACATATATATTGGGGCATGTTTCATTAAATAACATAGACAAGTTTTGTCTATTTATTTTAAGTAAGTTCCTTTCATATTGTCTGATAATGTCTGTTTTCACTCTTGCGTGGTCATGTGTGACGTCACGAGCTGTGACGCGATTTTCGCTTCTGTGTCTTGTATACATGAGTTTGTTGTTGTTTTGAAATTTTTCATGCAGCTAAAACAGACTATCATTATTGTTTCGTCCGTGTATTGTTTGATATATTGAAATGTAATTGTCATCTTTGATAATGGCTTATGTAAGCCGAAAGCTTAGATTGGATTTAAACATGTATCAATATGGTGATTTCCTTTCGTCTTTCGTTATTAAGCGTATCAGACAATATGAAAGGAACTTACTTAAAATAGATAAAACTTGTCTATATTATTTAATGAAACATGCATCAATAAAAAAATTGCTGCCTAAATACACATAATATATATATATATATATGTTTGTGTGTGTGTGTGTGTGTCTAGTAGACATTTTTAGCCACATTTGGTGATTGTTTGCATGTTGATTTCAGGACGTTTTGTGTGAGGGTGAAAGAATTTAAGTTACACTGGTTGTGGTAGTAGATAGACATATTCTAGATTTTTTAAATATGGATTTTATAAAAGTTTAGGATGGCATTTATAAAATCAAACTAGTGTTTATAGAAGATACTATTGGACACAAAATGGGGGTTCAAGTTTGTATTATTATTAATAAACTCATCCCTCGTAATTAATATATATTTAATAATTTAAAAAATTTATTTAGGGTCTTATATGCCAAAACCTTTCAATAAGTTTAAGAACTTTATAAAATGTGTCATAGTGGCTTTATTGCCTTGCTTGAGGTGAAATGATTAAAAAAATAAAACACACTGCATGTTAAGTTAAAAAAATAAAAGTTTTACCAAATTATGGGAGTTACCTGTTTTTCTGGGTCCTCTCCAGACAACCGCCTCGTCTTTGTTGTCAAGTAGAAATGCTATTGACATCACTCCCAGCCGTTTCTCGTCATCAATGTACACAGGCAGCCAACTATAAGAAATTCAAGATTAGAAACCACAAGAAAATCGGTCAGTGATAAAGACAGAATCATCAAGACTTGTGAAGAGGAATTTCTTTAATGTGATTTTACTGTTCAGCCGAGCCTCTCTTGCAATGTATGTATATAAACCCACTCAATTAGATAAGGGATTCTATAGAGTAGATAGGTGATGTCAGGTCGATCCCTTTACTATTCAGAATGGCATCCAGATAATCCAAATGATTAATAATAATGGCTCTCAATCTTAAACTTTTAACTCATTCAATTATTTGCCGTTCATTCTCCACAGACTGAAAAATATTTTCAGTGTTTAACTTGTATTTTTATTCTTCTTGAAATAAGAAAATGGTGAAAATGCTTTTCATGTTCTTCTGTCTTCAATGGGAGAATAAATGAAGAAAAAGAAGACATTTCACAATTTATAATAAAATAAAAATTACATTCACATTATTTATATTCAGACTATTGTTATCGTTTTTGTTGCTTTTATCACAATGTTTCGACAGTTGTGACCTCCTGCCTTCCTCAGGTTAATATCGATCTGGGTAACCTGCAGGAAATTCCAAACTTAACACTTTATTTAATACACGGGGTAAACTCTTCTGATTCCACTGCTCTTATCTAGGGATATCTCATCTAGTTCTTATTTTATTAAGCACTGTTCAGTTATTGCTCAACCATTTCAACAGAGTCCAAGTTCATACTGCCTGACTCATGGGTATAACAGCAATTAAGTGGTCTATAAATAGGTATTGTTGATCATTTTGCTATAAATAAATATTGTTGGTCGTTTTGCTATAAATAGGTATTGTTGGTCATTTTGCTATAAATATTGTCATTCATCTTGCTATAAATAGGTATTGTTGGTAATTTTATGATAAATATGTATTGTTGGTAATTTTTTTTTAATATAAAAATGTATTTTTATATTTTCATAACATTTTGTTTTTGTTTGGGGTTCACTATTTGTCCATAGCTGGGACCCTAAAAGGTGTTACCATTCTAGTTTAGGGTGGACCTGAGAGCAATAGCAATTAAGAGATGGTTCCCTGCTCCTCAAAATCTCCAATCTCCCGATCAGAGCCCTTGCTGCTGGATGCAGTTATCATCATACCCAGGACTACTAACCCAGGAATTGGACTCACGACCACTATGTTACCAAATACACAAACCAATGCTTTTACCCACTAGGACAATGGCCTAGTGGGTAAAATAATTTGTGGGTGAGCAATAATTGATCAGTTCTAAATAAAATAAGAACTAGATGATATCCCTATACATGAACAATGAAACAAAAATAGTCTACCCTTGTAGATTAAATAAAGCATTAAGTTCAGAATTCCTTGAAGGTCAGCCAAATTCTGGAAGGACAGAGGGCCAACAGCCTAAATATTGTAATAACAACAACAAATATGAGGACAATAGTCAGAGTATAAATACTGTAAATAATAATGCCGTATCCCAGAAATTGAGATAAAACATTACATTTATTTGGATAAAATATTGTTAAAAAAGCAAGGACATCACAATATGATACAAAAGAAACGTTTTGAATGAAGCTAGGTTAGGTTGGGTTGGTAGATTTTAAGACATATCAACCCATGTTAGGTTATTTAATGTCAAAAATGAGACTTTTATTATTATTGTATTTATTCTATAGGCTTGTTTGGTTAATTTTGTTTAGTGGTACATAACACCTCTATGGCTATTTAATGCAAAAATATAAATATGTTGAACACAATTTCATGGCTCCAACTAAATACATTTTGAATGCAAGTGCATGCCTTCAAATAAATATTTTCTGAATGCAATTGTATGCCTTCAACTAAATATATTTTGAATGCAAGTGCATGCCTTCAACTAAATATAATTTGAATGCAATTGTATGCCTTCAACTAAACATAATTTGAATGCAAATGCATGCCTTCAACTAAATATAATTTGAATGCAAGTGCATGCCTTCAACTAAATATAATTTGAATGCAATTGTATGCCTTCAACTACGGATAAAATGTATTGCTGGTCATTTTGCCTTAAAAACATTGGTAATTTTACTAAAATAGGTATTTTTATACATTCACTAGCAGCATGGCCCGGCGATGCCCGTGCTTGATTCAAAAATTGTACGACTCATACAGCAATCGCTATCACTTGACTTAAAATATTTTTGCCCTTCCTTGCTTTTAAAGGCGTGCCTTTTGCCGTGCTGATGTTGCTACATGCCTTACTTCTTGACTATCTCACACTGCGAACTTTTCCTAAGCTCTATACTAAACATTAAATCTGTTACGAAAAAAGAACTAAACAAAATGAATACAAAATGATCAGCTTTAAAAAAGGACTCGTAACTGGAAAAAACAAATGAAAAAGAATGTTAACAACAAATACTTTTTCACACCCAACTCAATTCTGCGGAATCAGATTCAAAGTTGAGTTTAAGCAAGCGAATTTACCAAAAAAAAAAAAAAAATACCTCTATGCCTACCTAGCTGCCAATTAGCAAAGTATTCAGGAAAGAAGAACAAGATTTGATGGAGAAGTGAGGAGGAACTTATCCATGATGTTCTGTTGTAGACAATAAAATAGACATGTTAGCAAATGGTCACCCATTCTGTCTGGTCAGCAAATATGTTTTCAGACACAGGATGGTAACCTGAAGACCTAACAAGTATGATAGATAATCAGAAAGATTGCAGAGAAATGTCTGTAAGGGTCAATGTAATCAGCACATCCCAATGATGATGATTCCAGGTATATATTAGTTGGGGTCATACTTGAGATCATAGATACAAACTAGTTGTTTTTACTTGAGTCTACAAGTACATACTGTTTGTTTATAATTGACTCATACTGTTCATTTATACTTGAGACTACAAGTACATATTGTTTGTTTGTACTGTAGTTTACAGGTATGTATTAGTTATTTATACTTAAGTCTGTAGGTACATACAGCTTGCTTATACTTGAGACTATAAATATATACTACTTGTTTATACTTTAGCCTGAAGGTACTTACTAGTTCTTTATACTTGAATCTACAGGTAAAAATGGTAATTTTTACTTGACCCAATAGGTTCATACTGTTCATTTATACTTGAGACTACAAGTACATATTGTTTGTTCATATGTGAGGCTACATGTACATACTAGTCATTTATACTGGAGTCTATAGATACATATTCATTTATGCTGGAGTCTATAGATACATATTGGGTGTTTATACATGATTATAGAGGTAAACTTGTTGTTTATATTAGTGTTTCTAAATACATTCATACTTGACTTTGTAGGTGGCACCTTTGGTTGGAAAGGTGGGTCTTACTCCTATGCAGGGATGCATTCTAGGCCCTGTCAACAAGACACTGAATTAAGTTAGTTAAAACTAAACACTCATATTTCTATCTGAGGAAACAGACAAATCTTTTTGGCCAAGCCAACATAAATTATGAAATTATATTGTGAACCATTTTTACTTTACTATATAGGATTAAATATGCAAATTATTTTTAATTCTTAATCATTTTCAAACAAAACTCACCCTGTAGGGTACATGTGGACATCTCGGTTTTCAAGGTTCAACATTTTTGGTATGCTGGGACCACAAAGATCTACATCCAAGATTCCAACCTTGAGAAGAAAAACAGTGCCTTTTTAGTATTACTTCACTGTTCTTTGTACATTTCAGTCAAAGGTAAAATGTTACAAAATTATAGGCCCATCAAAAAGGGGTGATAAAAAGTCACAAGATTAAAAAGAAAGATTTTATGGCCAGAAGAGTGGCGTCATTAAGTCTATTTTCAGTTTTTTACTGGAGAAAAATTCTAGAAATTTCCTTGGAGTATTTCATCATTTCCTGTGATCCCTTATTTAAAATCTTTAAGACAACCTCAAGAAGCTATAGGTTTCTATCTTACATGTTACAATAAAACCTCAATTTAAACATCCCTTGATTTAATGAATATTGGATTTAAGGAACCACTCGTGAGTCTTGTAGGCCCTAAGGATCTGATTTTTTATTTTTGGTGAACAAAGTTGAATAAATGCTAGAACAAATCATTCATTGAGTCCTTGTTAAGTTACTAGGTACATGTCAACCTTGTTAACCATAAAGTTAGTTGGAAACAAAAAATCTTGCTGATTTCAGCTATTTTTAAAGACAGATATATATTGATCGACTGATTTGTTTTCTATAGGTTATCAATCTTTTGTAGGTTATTTAAAGCCAGAAAATATCTTTAGATTCTAAGAAAAGTTTTTTGAGATAATAATGGTTTAGTGATATAAAACTTGTTAATTAACCCATAACTGGGGGGGAGAAGAGGTGAATTCATACCTTTCCCCAGTTATCTGCATGTAAGTGAATATAATGAACCCAGCGGGAATTGAAATTCAGCTCTCTGATTAACAATTCCGAGCTGATATCCATTACACCATCCACACATCTAAGCTTACAGCACCTGGTATTCCCAGGTGGTCACCCATCTAAGTGCTGATCAGGCTTGATGTTGCTTAACTTTGGTGATGGTACAATGGAACTGGTGTTTCAACATGATGTGGCCGTAAGACTTATAGATAACAAACCCTACATGGAAACTTTGTGTGTGTATTTATGTGAAAGAGAGGGAGAAAGAGAGAGAAAGCCACCACCCATCCAAATGATTCAAGTTATTTACTGTTTAGCCAAGGTCAGTGTGTTTTAAAAGTCAATGCTAACAACCCTGTTATCATAGAACATGTCAAAACATAGGATTGTTTATGGAAATTTTCTAAGTGAAAATTATGAGCACAAAATAAGTTAAAGTGCAGATTACATTTACAGCACCCCCTCCAAAAATCCTTTCAGTACAACTAAGGAAACCTTGATCATATTGAGAGGATGTAGGATTGTTTTATTTGATATTTTATACGGATTTATGTAAACATTGGTCATTTGCGTGCTGTTTTTCATTTAATAAAATGTTGTTCATTAAATGTGGAGAACTACAGATCTTGTGTCTTCTTTATGATATTACAAATTTATTGGATTTAAGGAACACACTCTTCCCACAAGTCTTTAAAATCAAGATTTTTACCGTTTCCCTAACAACTGTATCATCAAACCCTTTTGTCAGACTATTCTCATCTATATAAAAATGTTTAAAATATACTACAGCCAAACAATCAGAGGAAACTGGTTTTCTTTATAGCAAAATTAAAGTTTTGTGTTATATCCACATGATATAATTTATGAAATGAATATTGTTTATTCAGCAATACTTAAATAGACTGATCAACTCATTAAAGATAGAGAAAGATTTGGGGCGGGGGAGGGTAGTCATTTTTGTAGTTTAGTATCCTTTAGACCTTTCTTAGGCTGCGACACTTGTCAGAATCCAAAAATACTGATTAGTTATCAATTAAGTAGTGGGGGACCAGTTTATAATATCAATAGGGTGTCAAATCGATCCCTGACTTTTACAGAGTTATTAGACTTGAGGGGTGCTTACAAAAATATTTCTTTTAACTTAAGAACAAATAGATATATTCATTTTTAATTAAAGAACAAAAACTTACATACATAAAATTATGTATACATTTATTCTTCATTTAAGATAAATAATTATTAACCTCAAATGTTTGTAAAAGTGCTTCTGAAAAAATTCCATACAAAGTTTAAAAAAAAAAGCTAAAAAGAGGTTTGAAACTTCAGAAAATTAAAAAAAAATATATAGATATCAAATGATACTAGCAGAGTTTCAAGATTGACATTTGTAAATAACAGCTAAGCGACTTAGCGTAAGTCCAATAACTCTGTAAAAGTCAGGGATCAATTTCACACTGTATCGATATTATAAACAAGACCCTCCTTCTGAATCAATAACAAATCAATATTTTTGATTTTGACAAGTATCGCAGCCTAAAGATTGAGTTTGTTTTTTATGGCTTATCAACCCTTTGTGGGTTATTTAAAGCAATAACATATTTTGGTTTGTAAGAATAATTCTTTTTTTGTAAGTAAATATTGTCTTTCCAGATAAAAGGCCAACTATTTAACCCATAGCTGGTGGCAAACGATTCCATACCTTTCCAAATAGTATTTGTGCATAACTGAATGTAACAATTTGTGGCATAAGGTTGAAAGAATGCTAATATGTAGAAAAATTATTTCACCCTCAAATTTTTCCCTTTCTTTTAATGAGGGGACCAGTCTATTTAAGTAGTGCCCATTTATTCTATGCTTGTCAGATTTACTTCTTTGTTTCAAAATGGTCTCAAGAGACAGGCTTTATGACTCAGATGAAGCTGTCAAGGAATAATTGTACTTCTCTATGTGTAATTTAGTCAAAGATAAAGCTTTACAAAAAAAAAAAAATAAAAAAAAATTGAAAAATTGAAATTACCTTTTTGCCAGCTTTCAACAAACCAAGAGTGAGTTGTGTGGCCAATGTACTTTTTCCAACCCCCCCTTTGCCAGAGAGAATGAGAATAACATGTTTCACAGAGGAGAGATTATCTGTAGAATCTAAATATCAGAAAAAAGATCACATTTAAGCACGAGCATATTTCAGCATAACAAAAGAACACATTTAAGAGTAACAGAAGAATACACGAGTATAAAAAGCATATTTAAGAATAACAAAAAGAGCACATCTAAGTGTAAAAAAAGCACATTTAAGCATTAAAAAAGCACATTTAAGTTAGAAAAAAAGAGACCACTTGTCACTTTTATTCCAACTGATACAATAGTAAAATTTAAATACTTAATTATTATTGCATGATGTCTGCCCAAAAATGATTAAGTTGTTAGATATCAAATAAAAATATCCTCTCTAAGGCAATGTTACCTTAAACCCTAAACATCAAACTTTATGCACTTAACCCAATGTTCCTTCCATTCTTCAAAACAGTTTGCAATATTTCATGGGATTGCCATCAACTGCATTGTCACATTCTCCATAATCTCATCCATCCCTCTCTTTTAATGGTAATTGCCAAAAAGATACAGAGAACCAAATCTGTAGTGTGTGAGGCAGACAAACTTGTGGGATGCAATGTTTTGTCAAAAAAATCATGAATTCATTGCCTCAGTCATTGTCAATGTCATGGTTACATTGTAAATGGGCCCATTCAATAGTGACTGAGCAACCTCACAAGAGAGTGTCTGTTCATACATGTGTACATTGATTAGGTATCAAATCATTTGTGCAATTGGTTTTTGAGATGTTCAAAATAGCTGGATATGTTTTGAACAGACCTTATATTTATAAAAAAAAATTGCAACTTATACAGAAAGTTTATAATTTTGAGAGGATATCCTTATCTTTGATGTTAATTTTTTTAATGTTTCAGTTTATCTTCTGGCCTTTGTCAGGTGAATTTATTGGATACAGACTCTAATCTAGCCTTTGAGAAAAAATATGTAACAACCAAATCTGCTCCTAGAATGTTTTAACAACCAAATCTGCTCCTAGAATGTTTTGAATGTAGGGGGGGGGCTGTATACCAGGGAAGACATAGCTTAGAATTTGCTCACTAAAATTACTTTTCATCCTTTTTGTGAGGTGGTAGTGAGGGAAACTGTAGTATCTGGCTCACCTCAAATGAAGATGAATAGACTTTGTACTTGGCGTTCTTCAGAGAAGCCAGGTGGAGAGTCAACTAGAGATAACCTCTTCGCTGGGTGTGGAGATCCACAATTCATCCAATGTCTGTCTGTAGTGACCCCCAATATGTGTCAGCCTAGCTGTGCTTGATATGTGTGTGCATGAAACAAACTGTTAGACAGGCAGTTATATAAACACCTACCCCAGTAAGGAAATGGGCAGTCTCACAGACATTGCAGATGAGAATGTAGGGTCCACATTTTATATTTGATGAAGTACCAGAGTAAAATAAAATATAATGTTAACTATGAGAGATTAAGACTCATGTTTTCATTAATCGGCATGACAACACTTCATTACAAAATTATTTTCTAGGGTGACCAACTCCCTCAGCTTTGGTGATGTGCCTGCTAACAACCAAGATTAGGACAGTAAAAGGAATCATGTAATATAGGGTGGGGCAGAAATTCCTCCCACATAATGGTAAGACATTACTGGCAATGGTGTCTTTATCTACCTAATTTACTATTATGTGGGAGGTATTTCTGCCACATTTCTCCATATAAATATATAAACAATTACAATCCAAGTTAAAAAATAATATAAAAATATTTCTTTTTTTGGTATTATGTACAACAAAACATTATTCAGACTATTGTCTTCATCTTTGTTTTACATTTATTACAATGTTTTTTAATTGCTGTATGCTCCGGCCTTCTTCAGGTAGTTAGAATGTCCAACTGGACCCTTTATTTCACTCACTGGGGTAGACTGTTCTAGTTCCACGTGCCATGTCTAATGGATGTCAGTTATCAGTTATCTCCTGTTAATTCCCTTTCCCCAAGTTCTCCACCACATTAACCAGGTATTGAACTCACACTCTTTGAGTCCTGTCACTGGATCTAACCAATACTGTTATCCACTGTACCATGTGTCCTTGAGCGAAAGAAAGGGTTCAGTTTGACATTTGAACCACCTGAAGAAGGCTGGAGTGTACAACAGCCGAAACATAATAAATATGGTGACAAAGATGAGGACAATAGTTCAAATAATGTAAATAGTGTATATATATATATATATATATATATATATATTTTAATTAGATTTCTTTTTTTTTTTTTCACACACATTATATATATATATATATATATATATATATATATATATATATATATACATACACACACATGCACAGGTGTGCATGTACATAACACACACACACAACATACATACATACATACATAAGTATAACAAAGAAACTCAACTTAATACTAATAAAAAAAGCACATTTTTTTTAACTTAATTTAAAAATAATGAAAACAAGAAAATTGACAGACATTTGCTGATATCTCATGATGAGAGGACAGAACAATTATACAATGTGATATATATAAATTTATATATCATTTTATTATATATATATATATATATATATATATATATATATATATATATATATATATATAATATATATATATATATGCACACATACACACACATATATATTCTAATCAATTCACACCAAAGTAATAAAACCACTAAAACGCAAGGGGTTACGGAGTGCTAGGAAATATGAGAAAAATAAACACTGTTAAGGAGAGAGGACAATGAACAAAATTAAGAAGTCAGAAGATAATGATTGACATTGCATTGAAATTTTTGGAGATCAAAGTTGACTGGGAAATTAAAAGCCAGAAGAGAGTTTCACAAGCAAGAAGTGTAATCGAAGAAGCTGTTAGCACAGAACTTACAGTTACATCCAACCATATCATCTGTAAAATGATGAGACCTTGCCGCCAATCTTGTAATGCATTTAAATTCGTAAAGTTCATCAGAACAATTACCATGAAAATATTTAGAGAGAAAGCATAGGGAAGCTATGCTATGACGATGATAAAGTGACTAAAGCTGAGATGCCAGGTCAATAACATTGCCGATTCTTCTTTGAATTTTATCAAGAATCTCTAAATATATAACAGATCAGATGTGGCAGCAATATTCAAAGCAAGGCCGAATGCTAAACTTATAAATATGTAAGATAGATTCTGGTGAGAAAAATTGTTTAGGATGACACAGTGAACCAACTTTCCTAGCTTATATATATATATATATATATATATATATATATATATATATATATATATATATAAGCTTAGGAAAGAATATATATAATCATCAATCAGCTAAATGCCAAACTTTTACTCATATTAATCCTATATATATATATATATAGAGAGAGAGAGAGATAGGCTGGCCACTTGTATCTGAGGATGCCTGTCTACTAGAGAGGCTACTCAATCCCTGATGCAGACGCCTGCTCAGGCACATTTGTGTTTATTCAACACCCACAGAGCCCACCTGTGGTTTATACTGTAACTGTGCTGAGCAGACCTTAGTTACAGTTTCTGGGAGAGAGCATGCTATCTAGTGTGATCAACAATTTGAACAAGGCCAGCACACTCAAACCGTGGGTCATGATGGCTTTTAACTTCATGCTAGCACAACCATCAATGGCTCTCAATGGGTTCTGTCTACCTAATTTCACTCACAAGGCTTGGGTTAACCTGTGGCACATACTGAGATTGCCTCACCCAGACTGATAACATCAAGAAGTTACCTTCCTGACAAATCGACCATGGTGAGATCCAAACCTGGGTCTCATTGTCAGAAAGTGAATGTTCTAACTACTTGGCTATATATATATATATATATATATTGCTGTGTGTGTTCAGAAAGTAATTTCAAATTTTAGACATGCAATAAAAACTCATTGAAATGAAACAAATTTGTTAAAAACATAATTGTCATTTGATCGTCTCGTGTTTATTTTAACCGAAGAATTGCGCACATTCTTTTGACCAAAAAAGGCATAACAATGAAGATTTTCTGTGATTGGTTGCAAAAAGAATTCATAAGAGAGACAAAACTTATATTCCCTAGACTGATCACTCTGACAATGGAGATGGTAAATTAATTGTTGACTTTGGCTTTTCATCTAGAATTCTTTCAACAAAGAAAAGATTTACTTTCATACATGACTTTTTGTCTTTGTTAATAAAAATGATTAAGCATTTGACTAATTTAGCTTTTGTGAAACACTTTTACTTGTTTTTTTTCTTTACTCTGCCTTAAAAAATGCAATATTACTTTCAAATAATAGCAAACGCAGATCTATGTGCCTGCAAAAACCAGAGGGTCAAAAGGAGAGTTTTTCCTTTGACACTGCTATTATTTTAACTACCTTCACTCCTTGGCAATGTTTATTTTTAAAAAGCAATGATTAGAATTGTAATAAAACTTAAACATATAATAAAAGTGAATTTATACATTTTATTTGTTCTTGAGAATTGACAACAAAAATAATAAAACACTACTTATTAGATTGTTTATTGGAATGGTTGGCAAAACATTGGCCGATTTCCAATTGATTTGAACTTTATAAAATGGTAAATAATAAGCATTTCTTTATAGTTGGTTCACATATTTTTATAATTTAGTAAATGTTTATAAAATTCTGAATAAAATTTTTTTTTTCATATTTATTTCATTATTTGTAAATATAAAATTATTCTTGTAAATAAACAATCTAATAGTGTTTAATATTTTTGTTGTAAATTCTTCGGAACAAAAAATGTATAAATTCACTTTCATGTGTTTAGGTTTTATTACACTTCTAATCATCGTTTTTTAAAACAACATTGCTGAGAAGTGAAGGTAGTTAAAATAATAGCAGCGTCAAGGGAAAATTTGTCCTTTTGACACTCCATTTTTTTTTTGCGAGCACAAAGGGTCAATTTTGCCAAAATAACCTTTTATTTATACTATGTCAGAGTTTAGTAGTCAAATCATTGTTACAATTGGTATTAACACAGGGGGAACAGTGGAGTAATGGATAGTGGCTTGGATTGAGGAATTGGGG